TTGCATCGGGTTCAGGGTGAACGGGCCTTGAGGGCTTGAAACTTCAGGCTTTGTAGCGGCTAAATTCGAACCCCTGAAGCTTGGAACCCTAAAGCCTAAACTCTACATAATCCCATTATAGTAGCTTCCATTCTCTTTCCATTATCCCTATATAGCCCCAACCCTCGGTGGAAAGTTCAGGTTTTGAGCTTCGCAGACACAGCCTGCACATCTTCGGTTCGCCCCTCCCGGGCTGCGACGTGCAGAGCAGTACCTCGGCACAGAAGCTTATTGTGTTCCTTGCTATATTGGGGTTATGTTGGGGATGTAATATTGGGATAATGGAAGGAAATGGAAACTATTATATTATAATGGGGTATATATTGGGGTTATATTGAATGGAATAGAATATGGAAACTACTATAATATATTGGGGTTATCTTGGGGATAATATCGGGATAATGGAAAAGAAAATGGAAGCTACTGTATTATGTTTGCTGTTCCTTTTGTGCTTCTGGGTATTCTCTTGCTCGAGAGGCCTGGGTCTGAAGGCTTGCTTTTGTTTTCACAGGAAACTACTATAGAGTTATATGGGATTATGTAGGAGCATATTGGGGTTATGTTGGGAATAATGGAAAATAACATGTAAACTACTATAAAGTAGCTTCAGCGCAACATCCCTGAGTTCGGCTGGTAGGTTCCGATTTATGACCTTGGTGCGGACTCCGAAATGTCGGCACTCCAGCCAGCATAGATCCTAAACCCTAAATCCCTTCAAAAGGGCCCCAAACCCTAATTTCTTTTTTAGACGGGACCCAAGCCCCCTATGGCATTTGCACAGCCGGAGAATTGCCAGGCAACATGACGGGAATCATGTTGCAAGATCAGAGAGACATGAACGGCATCGTGTAGATTTGAGGTAACTCTTGGTTTTTGGGTTTAGGGTCTTTAATGCTTGGAAACCAAACAACCTCTATTGAACCACATATCGGCAGCAGTGGTGGCAAAAGCAAGTTAGACTGGCTCGATTCATATGAAGTTTCTAAACCAAAACAAAGAGGAGAACTAACATCATCGCACCACACACATGGCTGTCCCTAGCATCCCTAGCAACTCTCCTTAACGCCATGCATGCCGGGCCCCCGGCCGCTGTCCTGGAAGGGGCTTTGACCCGGGCTCGTGTTTTCAAACAGGCTGAGCAAGGGTAAAGGTTACATGGAAATGTAAGTGGCCGAGACTCAAATTGATCTCCTCGAACCCAAGCTCATGGAAGGACCCATCTCGGGCTTAAGGCCCTAAACCCTAAAGCCGTAAAGCTAGATTCAGGGCTTGGCCTTTCAGGCTCGCGGCTTGAGATTCGGGAGTTGGGGCTTGGAGTGAGTAACAACCCTAGACCCCTAAACAATAAACCCCTATACCCTTACGTAAACCTTCAAGGATCTCAAAGTTCAATCCTTGGCAGCACCTTCCTGCCAACTCTGATTAGATCCACGGACAGGGCTTGGGACTTACAACTTCCAACGAGCCGATGCATGTACGATAATGGGTTTTATAGGGTATATAATGGGGTCATATTGGGATAATGGAAAAGAAAATGGAAACTACTAAAATGGGTTCTATTAGCAGCGTGTGTCCTTTGACTGCACTTGGTCTGCATCTTCAAGTTGGGGGGGTTTAGGGCTTGGGGTGGGGACTCTCCCGAACCGAACTTTCCTACTCGGTAGTTGATGAAAATTCCTGCTCCTAAAGTGGCAATTATGGAAAACAAGTCCCCCTGTATTTCCATAACCCACAAGATCCTCAAAGGATCTCAGTAAGGACCCTCGGATCGACCACTCTTCGGCATCCACGCGGTTTAGGGTTTAGGGCTTAGGGGCTTAGGGTTTAGAACCTAAACCCTACACCCCCAGCCCTGAACGCCCTGAACACCATAGCTGCTTCAGGCTACGCACCCCTCTGCCAAAACTTGGTATACTCCTGAAGCTTAAAGTTTAGGGTTTAGGGCTTAGAGTTGAGGGAATAACCCCAAATCCCTATAAACCCCTGAATAAGCCCAGTTTCCATTAATGTTCTTTCCGATTTGATTGTCCGTTATCGAGATAGTACATGCCTATACCTCCCGAATCTATCCATATATGACCCTTTCCAGGGACCAAGGGTTTCCACTGGTTCTCCATTGTTTGACTGCCTGTCAACTTGTCAACCCTAAACCCCAAGGTTTAGGGTAAGGGTTTGAGGTTAAGGGTTAAGGGTTCGGGTTTCATCCAACTCCCTGCGTCCTCAGCAGCCATAGGGTTAAAGAGGAGCACGGTGGGGGCTGCAGTTTCCGCATGGCTACGCGTGTCCCAAATGGTGGAGGTGTGCCTGGGTTCAGTTTAGGATTTAGGGTGAGAACCAGGGCTATTTCATCAAGAGTGTTGTAGTGGCTTAGTAGCCGGTTGCTGACGACAACCCAAACCCCCGCAGCTCTTGATTAAAACTTGTACAACTCAGAATGAAATCTCCACCTGCGTGCGACCATTCTGCTGGGCACCTTCTTGTCGACCACAAGCCCTACACCCCAAAACTTCAAACCTCAATCCACAAAACTAACCTGACAAAAGCCCCAGCCCATCCCAAGCAAACCTTGAGCCCTCAAGATTACTCCGCGCACTAAACAGCAACCCTAAACCCTTAAAGCCTTAAACCCTTAAAGCCTTAGACCCTAAACCCTAAACCCTTAAACCCTTAAACCCTAAACCCTAAAACCCTAAACCCTAAACCCTAAACCCTAAACCTCAACAAGACCCAGGCACAAATGGATGGTCTCGGCCTTCGGCGGGCTCTTTGCGGCTGCAGCGTGATTGTTCTGCGGAGCCTTGCTTAATGTAGATCCCTAATAAATAAGGGTTTAGGGTTTAGGGTCCCTTCATGGGGATTATAATATGGATCCTAATATTAAGGCCCGTAATACAAAGAGGTGGTTTATTAATCTGGGGTCTACATGAGGGATTTGGCATTTGCGGCTTTTGGAGGTTTTGATTGTCGATGCCAGAATTCAAAGGCTCGTCTCTGGATGCGCCATGCTAAGGGTTTAGAGTTTAGGGTTTAAGGTTTAGGGTTTAGGGTTTAAGGTTTAGGGTTTAGGGTTTAAGGTTAGGGTTTAGGGTTTAAGGTTCAGGGTGGCTACTAAAGAATCCTGGGGCTTCTCATAATGAGCGTTTCCGACCTTCCGAAGCTGCCTGGGTTTCAATTCCTCAGGGTTTAGGGTTTAGGGTTAGGGAAGGAAGACTTGCACAGTAGTGCCTAAATGAGCCCTGGACTAAAGTTTCCCCCCCAAAACTCCCTGTACATCCCCTTCTAGGTCCCCCCCAACCCAACTTTAGCCCCTATATAACCCATTATAGTAACTTCCATGTTCTTTTCCATTCCTTCATTCCCAGCTGACCAAAGGCCAGTCTAGCCCACAGGAACATCACGACCAACTAGTCCAACCCTGTGCGACCATTGATGTCAGCTAGAGTCTGTATTTCCTACAGAATTTAATGGACATGGGTTGCTCATTCGGGATTACTTATATTGGGGACTATACAACACTAAACGAGGAACCCCTATGCCCACCGTTAGGGCCCCTAACAAGGCAAACGTTGACAGTAGCTCACGGGGAACACTGCCTGCAGTCCCCCTTCAGTATGGGGTATATGGGGATCTTGTTATGATATATACAAAACCATGTTCTATCTACTTAACCAAAACCCTAAACCCTAAACCCCTAAACCCTAAACTCGATCCACCTAAGGGGGACTATAACTCTTGGGACTATACCTTTGCACGACTAAGGGACAGCTTTCGTCGGCGGCACGTTGCTGACATCATCGCAGGCGATGTTGGGGCTTTCCTGGCAGGCGATGTTGGGGCTTTCCTGCACAATGTCACAGGAGTGCATCCCAACAAGCAGGCACCACACAAGCTCCAAAGGAATTCAAGGACCTCCAGCTGACTCGTTGTAGGTAGGGAATCAGTGAATATACTATATAGGGGTTATATGGGGATTCTATTCCCGCTTCCTCAATAACAACCAGTAAGTCAAAGGACCTCTAATGGACGAAGCTCAGTGCGCCTCTGGATTATGTGTATATCGTAAGAAAAATGGGATTTCTTACTGCAGCAACCCTAAACCCTGTATACCCAAATTATGGTAACTTCTTGTAAGTTCCTTAGCAGCAACCTAGGCCTTAACTCAACCCTCAACCCTTATAGTCCCCCTTAAGTAGATAGACTATGGCTTTGAGTATATTATAATAAGATTTTTCCCCATATATCCCATATTTCATCTACTGAAGGGGGACTATAAACCCTAAACCCAAAACCCTGAATAGTAGTTTCCATCTTCTCTTCCATTGCCCCAATGTAACCCCATTGGGTCCCTATCTACTTCAGGGGGACTATAAACCCTAAACCCTAAACCCTGAATAGTAGTTTCCTTTTTTCGTTTCCATTATCCCAATATGAACCCCTATAATTCTAGCTACTTAAGGGGGACTATAAACCCTAAACCTGACACCCAAACCTTAAATAGTAGTTTCCATTTTAGTTTCCATTACCCCAACATAACCTCATTATATCCCTATCTACTTAAGGGGTACTATAAACCCTAAACCTGACACCCAAACCTTAAAACCGGGCCTTCGTTGTGTCTTCGAGCACAGGTGCTGTTGGTTCGCTGCTGAGCGGTGCTTCGGGCAGCTCCGCTGCTTTCGCGGCATTCACCTGGGTTGCTAGTTAAGGGTTTAGGGTTTAGGGTTTAGGGTTTAGGGGGGGACTTGAATTAAGTTACCGTAAAATGGGCATATAGTGGATAATAAGCTTTCATAGGATTACCTGATTCTAGCAACTTAGTTTGAGTTCCTGAACAGCAACCCAGTAGCGGCTTCTTTGTGAACGCTGGCAGCGCCCTTTTGAGAACGAGACACTCGACGTGTTTTCAGCTTTGCCTCTTGGAACTGCACCACAGAGAGGAACCTAGGTTCCCCAGAAACCCCTTAATGATAAGGGTACCCTTTTTGCAAATTCTCAGCTTCAATAAGGAAACCACCAAATAGAAAGGGCAAAAGGGCACCACTGGTACCTAGGAACTCAAGCCAGCCACCCTCCACATGCTCGTTCACAATGATTGACAACATCTGGGCCCGGGTCAGGGCTTTGTATAACTGCGCGCGTGTCTCCAAATCCACGCTGCTACTTCGAATGGGTGCATCCAATCCGACACAAATCACCACGAGCTGCTCCAAGCCCTCTGCGTTGCCCATGGAGTCCAGGATAAGATGCTCCTTGGGCTCGGGGCCGGCTGCTTGCAGCTGCTCGGGCAGAGAACTCAACGACTCCTTGAAGTCCATCAAAGACAGATTCCGATGTGGCATCTCGTCTTTCAGCCGCTGTTGAAGGAGAGGCTGCAGCTTCAGGCAGAAGTGATCGTCCGGTGCAAGCACGGCCACGCGCTTGTGGAGGCTCGTTCCGGGAAAGGTGTGCACCACGTGCCAGAGGGCCATGAGGATCTGCTTGGCATACTCCTCGAAGCGCCGCGAAGGCTCTTTCAAACTGAAGATGAAGGATTTCAGAGGGGGACCGTCCGTGCTAAGGGCTGTGGCCATACCTGTGGCCATGTTCGTATCAAGACGAAACGCTGCAGATCCTGCCACAATGCGCTTGGTGCTCCTCACCACCTCCCTCAGGTTGACCTTCTGGATGTCAGGCCAGGACGGGTAGGCCTGTTCCACGGCAGAGGACTGCGAGTCATCCGAGCAAAGCAGAAGCTTCTCGTAGTTAATCTCTTGCAAGCAGCCGTAAGCTGCATCTGAGCGGAACACAGCGTGAGCTTCCTGGGTTGCTGTCAAGGAACTTAATTAAGTTACTATATTGGGCCAACCATATGAACTTATATATATATATATACCCATCATGGTAACTTTATCTAAATTCCCTAACAGCAACCCAGCTTCATCCACAATGGCCAGCGTGAACTGTCCCAGGCCAGCTTGCACACCTTGCGCGCTGCAAACAATCTTTCCAGAGCTGACGCTTGGCCAAACAGGTGCTTCGTAAGGGCTATGTAGCAGGCCGACTCTGTGGACCCATGAATTCAGGTCCTGCTCGGAAGCCAGACGAATTACCAGCCATTGAATAACGTGCAGACCCAGCGCAGGCGAAGGTGCGACGTAGAGTACCCGCGCCCATGGAGAGCGCTTGAGCTCGCGGAGCATGCGATGTACCGCCAGGAAAGTCTTGCCCGCACCCGCGACGGCAGAAAGGTGCACGTGTGTCGCAAGCTCCGTGGCCCGAAGTGCCTCCTCCTGGTGGGGTGGCAACAGTTCGTGAATCGTGGTGAAGATGATACTGATAACAGTGATAAAGATGATAATAATAGTGGTATCAGTGACAGTAATGATGATAGTGGTAAGACTGATAAGAGATAGTGATGATAATAAGAGTGATAAAAAAGACCCTATTAGACTACAACAATAACCACAACAAATTACGACAATGATGATAACCACAACAAATTACGACAATGATAAAAAAAAAATCATGATAATACAATTGATACGAATACTTATAATAAAAGGAATGATATTAATAATCGCGCTAAAGTCACCACAATTGAGACTAGTATTCTCCCTCCTGGTGGGGCGTCAACTTCTCCATGCTGAGGAGACTTCGCTCATAGAGCTCCAGGAACAGGGTCTTGTCAACTTGCACCTGGGCTTAGGGTTTAAGGTTTAGGGTTCAGGGTTTAGGGTTCAGGGTTCAGGGTTCAGGGTTTAGGGCTTAGGGTTTAGGGTTCAGGGCTTAGGGTTTCGAGTTTGGGGTTTGGGGTGGACCCCAATAAAGACCCTCAAAAAAAAACATAATCCGTATTATGGGGAGCCCCAAAAAAGCACCCCGGCCCCCATATGGGCCACAAAAATGCTGGAGTCCTTGTTCATGGGGCCCCCAAAAAGGTACTCTAATTTCGTGAAACACTAGACCCTATATACTGCTATGTAATCGGGATATAACCCTATATAATCCTAAATAAACCCTGATTTGGGGACTCCCTGCCTCGTGGGTCACCCCCCTTAGTGCTAAAGCCTCATTGATGGCATGCTCAAAGTCACCACTGAGAACCTGATCCCTCAGAGCATGCAGATCCAGAACGAATGGAATCTCGATTCCGGCGCGCAAGGCCGGGACACCTGGGGGTGCTGCTAACTTGAGATTGAGGAAATCGTTTTGGCAGGAATGTCATACTTTACCATCTACCATTCTGGTGATCAGAGTGGCCTCTAGCATCGAGAGCAAAGAGGTCAACTTTATGGGAGAAAGCTTTAGAATTCCAAGCTTTGAGGCCAGTACTCAGCCAAGATCTCTGATTGAATTGCTTACTGGAAAGGTCTCAAGGCTCTCATTCTGTCCTTCAATTGTAGTGCTCTCCCTCATTGTTGCTGAGCTCCTTCTTTGCGCCTCTTGTTGACATATCCAAATTTCTTATTAGCTTTCAGAGGCCAACGAGAACCCCTAACCCCTTCATTCGCTTGGGAGCTTGCTGCAGAAAGGGGCTACCCTCTGTTTTCGGGGCTGGTGGCAGGGAAGCAAAGCGCGAATGCTCGCAAATCAGTGGATCCTGAACGTCCGGCACATCTTTTGCAAGGATACTGAAGCTTTTTGAACTTTAACTCATCTGGAGCTCACGCAGCCGACCATCACCAATAGCAGGCAAGACTCTTGGGGTATCAACAACTTTGCGCAAAGGTATCCAACCCCCCCCCCACAAACTGACCAACGACAACTCCGGAGGTGTGGACAGTCAATGCATTCGCATCTCGCTTCCTACCTCCACTGCTGTTAAGCTTGTTGGGTGCATCTTGGCCTTTACTCCCCGATCATTTCTCAAGCCCTTCTACTTTCAGGCTGGTGTCGTCTTCTACCAGCACTCATAAAGGCCCTGCTACGGGTCTAGCATTCTGATTGTGAGTTGAAGGTCCGGTATCAACAGCACTGGCTGGCAGTGGTTCCGCTTACTGGTACTCCGTAGGGAATATAAGGTAAAATATAAGCCCTATATAATCCCTATGAGACATAATCCCTTATGCCTTACTGGGCCCAGTAAGACAGGTCTGCAGAATCTGCTTTTTGCCACGGTCCTACTTACCATCATAATGCCTATTGTTGCGACCCTTTTCCGAAACCCTAAACCCCAAACCCCAAACCCTAAACCCTAAACCCTAAACCCCAAACCCTAAACCCTCTGCCTGTCCGGAGCCTGGATGGAATGCAGTCCGAGACCGTCACGCCAGCAGGGAGGCACTGGAGCAATGACTCGCGCACTGATTCACGACCTTAAGCGTAGCCTTTAAAGGGGGTATATAGGGGATATCTAGGTTTAGGGTACAGAGTTATGGGTTTAGGGTTGAAAAAAAGAAGGGTTTAGGGTTAAGGGTTCTTAGTAGGGAACAGGGGGATATGTCATATAGGGATTATATAGAGCTCTACATTCCGCTATTCCCTACTAAGAGCCAGTAAGCAATGAAACAGCCAGAAGCTGTAGAGCTGGCTTGCTGCTTTGGAGAGGCGGGGCTCTTGAGGCACTAAAACAGTTCGGACAGTAGTTGAGCATCCGTATCCCCATACCATAGACCCTCTCACGTGAACCAGGTTGCCGTTGAGAAGGGAATTCATTTCAATACCCGAAACCCTACCTGCAAGCATGAGATGATCTAGAAGTTACATCGCACATGCCTAGCACCTGATGAGCCAGACCAACAACTGCTACTCAGCGGGGGCCTTGTGGGAACGTAGGGGTCAGATGAAGAGCTACATATACTACTAGTAGGAATACTATCCAACTGTCATGGCAGTATTTAGGGTTTAGGGCCCCTCCTTCCCAGTCCAAGACCTCCCATGTCCAGGACTTCATCGAAGGCGTGATTTGCGTGGCGGACATCGTGTGCATCAAGTACCTCATGGCTCCTCGCGTCTTTGCACATGTGTGCCAACCCCCACAGCTCAAGAAACCTATGGTAGCTCATGGACTGAATATGGACCAGGTTCTACTATGTCAGGGCTTCACTTTTTTGGGTAACTCGTCCGCACTGTGAGGAGGTCTTCCCTTAGGTTACTTGACATCGCCTTTGAGCCCGAGTCCTGTCGCACCGCACGCGCCAGTACAGAATCCCTCGCGTTTCATCTTCAAGCCGCTGCTCCAAGACTGTGCCCCTGCGCCAGTCAGAACCCTGCTCGGGGTCTACAGGAAGGAAGTCCACTCGGCAGCCTGGTGAAAACTCTTGCTGCAAGAACTCCGAGACGTCGACCTCTTCATAGTCCCATCCCATTTCCTGGTTGCTGTTAAGAAACTTAAATAAAGTTACCATAATGGGTGTATGTATATACAGTAACCCTAAACCCTAAACCCTAAGAATGCAGTACCCCAAATGAAGTTCCTTAACAGCAACCCAGTTTCGTCAGCTGTGGCCAGCTCACATTTCTGTGACCCACCGAGGCCAACGCCATCCCACAAGTTCACCAAGTCGTGGGACAGCTCTTGCATACTAACTTTCCTGGGATAAAATACTATACTGGGGAAAACATATCAATCATTATATATAACTTTCCAGAGTCACTGGTAAGGAACTGATTATAAGATACTATATTGGGGAAACCATAATAATTACTATATGTATACCCATTATGGTAACTTCATTTAAGTTCCTTAACAGCAACCCAGCTTCCCAAGCCCCACTTGGCCAGGAAAGAACACGGCCTTCAGCTTTTGCTTCTTGCGGATGGCCTGGGAAACCTTCTCAAACCATTCCTGATACCATTTGCACCCCCAGGAAGCCACCTTCCCGGACTGCTGTTAAGGAACTTAAACAAAGGGATTATCCCCCTATAATGGAGAATCGAATGGAAAAGAAAATGGAAAATGAAATGGAAACTAGGGGAATATAGGGATTTAAATTAAGTTACTATATTGGGGAAACCCTAGTATTTACTATATATACCCATTATGGAAACTTATTTTAAGATCCTTAACGGCAACCCAGCCTTCCCGGACTCTTCCCAACGAGCCTGCGCTTGCGCCTCCGCTTCCTTGCGCTGCGCCGGGCCTTCGTCAGCCCGCACCAGGACGGCACCCATGGTGGCTGCCTCCTGCTCCGCTTCCTTGAGGCGTTCATCAGTGAAGGGCCCTTGGAGCACCCGGAGGTATCCAAATTCCCTCCATCCGCGCTTGCCATAGATTCGTGCGCAGTAACAGAACCCCGGATTGCGGGGATCTTCTGCATGCTGTCCCAGGCCTTTCCAAAAATCAGACCTACTGCATATCACCATGCATCATCAAGAATGTTGGAAGTGTGCAGCCCAAGTGGTTCAATTGCATGCCTTTGCAACTTGTGGAAAAACCTTTTCCCCTCTAAAGATGTCGATTACTCCCCCTGTCTAAGTACTGATGCACAACACTGCCTGTAAAAAACTCCAAGTAGCCTGCACATGATCAAGAATTAAGGCCGGCACCATCGTCTTTGTTGCAAAGGAAAATGCAGGCAACGGAGTCTTCATGGTACTGCCGCGTAAGGGCTTCCCAGCCAGAGGCATACTTGCCAGGAAACGATATGAAGCAGCTGCTTGTATCTTCCCGAATGTCTCCATGATAAGATATCTTGGGCTGAGCGGAATCGCCAATGGCAGGGCCTTCCTTCAATGTCAAATAAAATGTTTGCTGCACGGCTGGTGTTGGTGCGTCTGCGGCTGCGGCTGCGTTTGCTTGAGCTATCGCATTTGCTGCCACGGCTGGTGCTCGGGTTGCCGGGGCACTTGCCTGGGTCACTGTTAAATAACTAAGTTTAAGTTATCATATTGGGGAAACCGTAGTTATTACTCTATCTATGAAATAAATATACCCATTATGATAACTTAGTTTAAGACCCTTAACAGCAACCCAGTTGCCACTGGCGGAGTGAAATGTGCCAGTGGAGCGTCATGTTCATGTCGCCGGTCCTGGCGCAACATCGGAGGCAGGCAACCCCTAAATTCTAAACCCTAAACCCCAAACCCTAGACCCTGAATCCTAGACCCCATCCCTGACCTGTAAGCCGACTCATACTCTGAAACTACAAACCCTACACATCCGGATATACCCTTATTTAACCTCTGTATTCGCCTTTTAAGGTACGCCTACTTTTGGGAAACACCCGACCGTCAACAAGCCGGATTCGCGAACTAGAGCGCAGGAAATCAGAACTGTAAACCTTGTATATCCTTAAGTATTCTTATATAACCCTATATAACCCCTATAGTCCCCTATATAGCCTCTATATAACCCCTATAGTCCCTTTTTTGAGGTAGGAAACCACAACCCTCACCTTGATCCCCTGTTCTACAGTAATAGTTTCCATGTTCTTTTCCATTATTCCCTAGACATAACCTCAATATTCCATACCCCTATACAAACCTTTATATATATATATGTGTATATATATATCACCTATATAACCCGGCTATATAAACCTCAACAAGCCCGATATAACGCTGTCTAACCCCTCTATAACCCCTGAACCCTAAACCCTAGACCCTAGATCCTAAATCCTAAACCCGAAACCCGAAACCCTATATACCCCTTTTTAAGGTAGACCTTGATCACCTCTTTCTTGCGCGGCGCTGGCGGAGCAGGGGTTCTGGGACCTGCAGACAAGGGCAATGATCTGGGCTTTTAGGCCTGGGAAAGGGGTGTTTAGGGCTTGGGGTTTAGGGCTCAGGGTTTAGGGTGTTAGCGTTTAGGGTTTTAGGGTTTTAGGGTTTAGGGTTTTAGGGTTTAAGGTTTTAGGGTTTAGGTTTACGGGTTAGGCTCACTTAGGACGACCGGTTGTTACAAAGGTTTTGGGATTGGGGACCAAGTGGCTCCTGGTCGGATGGCTGGCTCTGGGAAAGTTCCCTCAACTTCATCGTTTTTCCCCACCCGCCCTGAATTTGTGGTGTATTTCTTTCTCCACCTATGGCCCAATCCTGTGATTACATTTAATTGTATCTGCCCGACGTGTCGTTGCTGTGACCGTGTACCTTTCAGTTTCTGTGCTCCCATGTTCTGTTGTTTTTCTGCTTCCGTTTGCTTTTGAAGTGTCCACAATGCTCCTTAATAACCCCCATTCTAACCATACAACCCCTACATAACCCCTACATAATTACTCCCTATATAACCCCTATAAACCCCCCCATAGAACCCCTATATAGATCACTTTTGTGGCAGTGGGGTCGGGGGGGGGACACTCAGATTCTAAGCTCCGGGCCTTTGGCTTTCACCGTTGCGCAAGTTATGGTATGTTATAGTCTATTGTCATAGTATATTATGGTATGTTATGGTATATCATAATAACAAATTATAAGATATTATAGTATATGAATTTTCGCGAGCGCAATAGCAGGGAGGCTAAGGGGATGCAAGGGAAGCACTGCCCAGAGAAGCTCCAAAGACACCCCAGCTTACTGGGGCGGGGCCGGGGTAGTAGGGAACAAGGGAATATGTTATACAGGGATTTTGTAAAGGTTTAGGGTCTAGGGTTTATAGTCCCCCTTAAGTAGATAGAATATGGCCTTGGGTAAATTATAAAAAGATCCCCACATACACCATATTCTATCTACTTTGGGGGGACTATATCTTATACAAGGATTATGTAAGGATTATCTTCCTTTATTCCCTACTAACTCCTAGTAAGCCAGGTAGCCAGCAAGCGCAATATGGCTTCAAGCATGTGCCACATGTGCCAAGCCTCCAGCCCATGACGAGGGTGATGACGGCAGCAACATGTTCTTTTTACTTTACCCCAGAAAGATCCTCGAAAACACAGAGGTTTTGACTTGTTCTTTTCTGCGGTGGCTGTGTGCTCGCGTGGCCCCAAACTTAAAGTCTATGTGTCATTGTTGCAGAGGAGTCCTCCCCCTTTTTGAGCAAACTTGTCTCTGGCCCTCTTCGCCCCAAACAGGAGCTGTCCCGTGGCCAAGCTGTCTCCCCCCTCCTCCTGGCCCTGGACCTGCGGGTTCACCGTAGTAGCTTGAAATACCCAATCCTGGCAACGCATTGACACGCAGTGCCCAAAAACACGAGCGTTTGGTGCTTGACCTGAGCTGCTGTTTTGTAGTTTGGGCATGTGCTTGTGCTGCAGTTGCTTGTGCTTGTGCGTTGTAAGTCGCGTTTATTTGGGCTTAATTGGGTTCAAGCGGTTGTTGTGTTTTGCCCTGCGGCTGTTTGCTCAAGTGTTCAAGTTGCCTCATTGTGGTCATGCGCTTTGCATGCTTGTTGCCCTCTCTCACAATTCCGATGGCTGTTCCCCAAGCCACAAGTGCAGCCGGGGTGTTAGAACGTGCGCTCACCTCGCGGTGTTCCTCGCGAAGAAACCGGAAGAACCGACACCCGTCGTCAACATCAGGGTAATTAGGCTCTTGGACCCATGAAGCGATTTAAGTTTGATGTGGCAACCATTGCTCCTTGTCCATGTCGCTTCGCGCTTCCCATTTGACAAGGTGAAAGTATTGCTTGGCTTCAAAACTTGACAGCTTCTGAAAACTCAAAGCGAAGCGCACCAGGCACTGGTTCCACTCTAATCGTTGCCAGCAGCTCTGACAGGACGCCAACTCCAACAACTGTTGATTCGTGGAATCTTGATGGTAGCAAGACTGCTACGGCTTGAATTATACTTGTTACTTGACCAAACAATGGCCCTCTCTTCGGGAAAACACTCAACTTCCACATCATGTCCCCAATGGAACCCTCACACAACCCCCATTTGACCTGGAACATATGTGGTCAAGCCTGTCAAATGCCAGAATCTGCCGAACCAATTTGCCCTGTATATCCACGAACCTTTGAATAACCTAATCTACACAACCCTAGTTTCCATGTCATTATCCTTGTTCTTTTTTCCATTTGACTCTCCAGTATTGGGGTAGTAACCCTAAAACATAAGCCCTAAACCCTATATGAGCTACAGCCTAACCTCCTGGTATCCCTCTTAAAAATACCCTATAGTAGCCCCCTATTTCCCCCCCTAAGGAGTTTAAACTGTGGCTAATATGAGTAAGAGGGACCCTAAACCCTAAACCCTAAATCCTATATGAATAATGGGGACTCCAAAACCCACAGGATGCCTCTGGCTATGGCCTGGGTCTTCGCTGCGGTGCTTCCACCAGTTCCCATGGCCCACAATTGCTTACTGGGGGTTAAGGACTAGGGATTTAGGGTTTATGGTTTAAGGTTTAGGGTGTTAGGGACGAGGTAACCTCAGGGGGCTGGCGAGCCTTGACGTGGTTTAGAGTTTAAGTTGGGAGGATGACGAGGTACAAACTCCATTAGACCTCTACCCGACCTCCAAAGGAAGGTCGGCTCGCAAGTTGGGGTCGGTTAGAGTTTCAAGCCTCGTGGCACTTAGGATACACGGTCTTCGCAAGATTCAAGATTTTGGGTTCAGGTGCACGCTCAAGGATGATGACGGCTTGTGAAAATGCATGGGTCAGGTTTTCAGCTTAGGAACTACGGCTATTGGATGCAGGCTTTAGGTGGCAGGCTTTAGGTGGCAGGACTCATGCTTCTGGGCTTTAATGCAAGTTTTAGAAAATGGTATGCATGAATTCGACCAGCGCTGACTCTTCAGAGTCAGCCAGCACAGTTGGGTGTGCGCTTTTTAATACTGCTGGAGGGGTACGTCCATAGCTGGGCTCGGGCCTGCAATGCTTCGTTCATGCCAGGTCTCAGACATCCGCATCCAAAGCCATGTTTGTGTGGGGTTCGAGCACATGACGTTTGGCTTATGGAGCAGACGGTGGGGCAGTAGACACCGCGCCCGCTTCCCGGTTCATCCGGTCATCGCTTGTAAAAAGAGTAAGCCCCTCTCATTTCTGCGCAACTCCAGGGCTAAGAATACAAAGATCAAAGGATTCGGGCCTCGATGCCCTGTAAACCTCAGACACTAACAATATACTCCACCCCAAAACCCCAGTACCCTCAAAGAATCCCTGAGAGGGCTCCCCATAATCCTTCTGCCATCCACTTATGATATGCAGGGCCCCGGAAGTTCCCATCTTTCCGGTAACCGCCATTTAAGCTGGCAAACTATGCAGCCCAACACTTCCAGACTGCCCGCTGGCAATTTTCAGAAAATTGATGTTGCAGGGTGCTTTGAAACTGCCTGCTGCCTAAACGACTGTACCAAGTCCTTTGGTGAAACTGTGAAACTAAGAGCCTGCCCAGACTTTGCGCGCACAGCCGGATGGCAAGCCTGACAACTTCTGACCATCATTCAGCAACGCAGAAGAAACCTCAGGTATCAGCTACAGTACGGGCTCGGTCACACAGCTTACCTCCAGCGCATCCAAGGCTTCCCCCTTGTCAGCAAGTGCAGTTTGCGGAGCTGATGGTGCTGCCTTGCCAGTG